GTTCAGGAATTGAATTGAGGGCTTTCCCACTAAGCTACATATCCAACTGTTTTTATTTCTTATTTTGAGGCAGGATCTCACTAAGTCTCCAAGTTGCCCGGGCTGAGCTCAAACTTGTGATTCTTCTGCCTCAGACTAGAGTGAGTTAACTTCAGTTATTCTATTTTTCATTACTAGAAACTCTAATTAATTCCAAAGGTTCCTAGTCAACTTTTAGTATTAGTATCCCCTACAGATAGTTTGCAGCCTTTTTATTATGCACTTTTTTAACAACTTATCAGTATCTGAAGTCTGTATAAGTATGTTACTGGAGTTGGTTGTTTCTATTGTTATTTGTCATATGGTCTTATTTTCTTGCATACCTGATCATCTTTGACTCCCCCACTGATTATCATCTAATGATCTCAGAATAAGTTCACAGCTTCATTTTCCATTCCATCCAGGTACCATCTCAGGACTGATCTAGAACCACAAATTCTTTTTTAAGCAAAACATTTATTGGTACATTTTAGATGCATATAGTGATAACATTCTCCACAGGAAATTTGTGCCTGTATATCTTGCTTCTTTTTTTCCCATCCCTCTCCCCACCTTTCAACCCTTCTTCCCCTTCTTATTTATAAAAGCTTTGTTTCCACTTTTTCCCTTCTATTCTCTTTTTTCTTGTCCCTTCTTTTCTTTTCCCCTCCCCCATCTATTGTTCCCCTTCTCATTTGAACATTTTCTTCCCATTTCTCAACATCTATTATACATTTTTGGAGGCACAAATTCTGAGACAGATTTTACTCTTTTCTGTTCTTCTCTGACCATATTCAGTATCAAGATAATCTTCTCTAGTATTCCCTACAATAGGAAAAAAGAGCAAATTTAGTTCTGGTTCACACTTAGAAGTATAGGGTTTGGGGTTGCAAAGCCTTAATTTGAACAGGGTCTTTGAGGTTACCCACCTTAAGAAAAGCCCATCTTCTGCATTTGTCTTGAATCTCTCTCCCAACACCACTGCACAAAATCCCAAGTGTGCAGTATTAGCCAGATAGAACCAGCTTGGGTGCTCTAGTATTATGCTCAAACATAGAACTGCATTGACTAGAAGCTGGATATTAATACAAAGGGAAGAAAGGAAGAAGATATCTCAGATAGTTTATCTTATTATTGCTCTCCTATTTTTTTAATATCTGTATTTTTCCCCCTTCTGGGAAACATTTTCAATGTTATCTCCCAATTCTTCTAATTTTTAGAAATTTCCTGCTATAATATATTTTAATTTCCAAATCTCTTTATATGTTCTCTAATGCTAGCTATATCAACATCTTTATCCATCACTATATGCATCATATCCTGATCTTGTTTCATAGATGCAAAGCCTTCTCTAATTGCTCTGGGAATATTATCATCATTTTAAGGTTGTTGTTTTTTTTTTTCCTACTCATTGTAATTGTCTGTCAAGTTCCTTTTTCCTGTTTGCTTAGGTCTCTGATTTCCATGTTAGCTGCTTTCCTCCACCATCTGGTGACTGGAGGTCTCTGTTCATACCTTAGGAACTGGCACTGTGTGTCTGTAGGTTGAATTTATTGATTAGAGTCTCACAGGACGGATAAGGTACTGGCAGTTTCTGAGAGGATGGCCCCAAATATCGAAGACCCCAGCAGATTGTCTTGATCCCCTGAAAGGCAATGCAACACAAGGTGAAAAGAAGACAGAGATGGAGTTAAAGAGACAGAGACAGGAACCTGGGATGGACCACACTGAGCATGTGGTGAGGACCCCAAGCAACTAGGACCATGGATATTAATTCATTACACAACCATGACTAAGAATAGGGTAGGGGGACACATCTAGTGATATCAGCTGACACAGGCAAGGCTTGTAGAAAGGAGAATAAGGCATTCTTGCAAAAGGAGCAGTCAGACCAAAGGTAGATCATGGTTAACTAGTAAACTACAATTAAGGGAGGGGTCGCTCTAGGGATGGAATGTAGTCTGGAGCCCTGCAGTCCTCGGCCACCTTGGTATCTCACTTAGCAGCCCTACAGCTTCACAGACCAGGACTTAGGTATTCTCTGTCATAGCCACTGACAGAGGAACTTATGCTAGCCTGAGTGCCGTTCCACATGTTGCTGTGAGTCAGGTAGGGTTAAATCCAGCTCCTAGCTGTAGCCAGGTATGCTGGGGAATTCCTGCTCTGTACTGCAGCTCTAAGCCTGGCTGGGGTGGGGGGTGGGAGTCTGCCACACCCAAATGTCAGTTTCTATAGCAATTTTCTCTGGTCTGGTTGATTTCTCTAGATAAGCCTCCTCTTAACCTTCTGAGTGACAAAAGAGGAAGGAAGGTGATGGTGGATCCTGGTGGAATTTCTCTAGCTCAATGTTCAAAATATAAATTCACCCAATTTCCCAGTGTCCCTGCCAGCAGCCTCCTCAACCAGACCTTCCTCCAACTAGAGTGTTAGAGACCAAAGTTTCCAGACAGAAAACTCTAGTTTTCTGTCCAAATAGAGGAGAACAAAAGATTTGAACTATGCCCTTCTGTTTTAGCAGTAGCCCTCACTCCTGACATACAACTATGTGTGCCTCCCATCTTGACACTTTCTAGGCTAGCACAAAGTGGTTTTCCTCTTGTCAGCTCACTTCCATCTTCTTGTCTGAACTGAGAAAGTAGAAAATAATGCTAAAACAAAATTCTGAAATCAAGAGATTATAAACATTTATCACAAAGGTATTTAACTCAGCAAGGAAGGATCCAGTAGGTAGACAAAACAAGCTTGTTTGCCTGAGCTCAAAGAGCAAAGTGTATGGGTACATGTTATACAAATGTTGACAGAGCTGAGGAAAGGAATTCAGAGGACAATTGCCAGGTTGGATTCAAGACTGGTTAATTTTCTACAGAGCAATAAAATTCTTGTGCTTAACCGGGCTATAAAATCTTACAACCTATTAGTTTCTCAGGTTAAACTGTAACTTTATAGAACCATAAAACTGTCTGCTGCCTCAATCACTGTGAATTAATTAGATCCACTGTGGCAATGGAATTTCATTCCTTTGGAATGTCAGATAGGTGTAGATTCCCAGGATATGAGGTTCTGCTTTTATTTAGCATTGACAAACGTATTCTCTCATGGTTTAAGGAATCAGGCATTTAGGAATCATTATTTTTGCCATTTTTCCAAATGTGAAATCATTTTTCTACCCTGTATCAGGGAAGAGTATCTGAAATATTTATTTTTGCTATCACTAGCATAATTTTGCCTCAATGCCTGTTTTTTCTGTCCTTGTGGTTTTGTTCCTCTCACTCCAGCCCAATTTACTGTTATTTTAATGACTTTTAGGGAACAAGCAGGCATAAATGCATGAACTCAACTTTCCTTTTCAGATCACACATTTCCTTCTGTGCTTTATCATTAAGACTTTCTTACAATGACTAGAAAATGTCTTTTGTTTGGCTGGTTTTTGTTCTGTTGTGTTGTTGTGTGTACATGAGTGTGCTTGTGTGTTTGTTCCTGTGTGTGTTTTACAGGAGATTGGATCCAAGGGCCCTTCACACTGAGCATTTAGTTGACAAGGCTGGAATTTGTAATCGTGCTGCCCTACCCTCCCAAAGTGCTGGGATTAGTACAGGCATGCACCAAGGTGACTTTGTTTTTTGAGTTCTTAATGCTATAGAATTATTACTTTCCCCCTTTTATGTTTTTCTGGATTTCATTGGGCATTTTTAGCACAAGGGACAGTGTGAACTTAGGTGTTCTACTTACTGTTTTGCCTAGGTCCTTTCCTGAATATATCAATCCTTGGTTCCAAGTATCAAAGAGGTCCTCACCCTTGGAGAGAGAAGCAAATGGATCCCATTATGCAGAAAATGTTATTATGATGCTGCAAGAATCAGTAGGTCTCTTGTATGCTGTATTACTCAGGATGTGTGTGGGGGACAAGCATCTTGGGCTGGAGAGTGTGACTCAGTGGTAGAATACTTGCCTAGCATGTGAGGTCCTGGATTTGATCTCTAGCATTACAGAGGGGGATAAAAGAAAAATGGAAAGTCGTATTTCTGACCCTATCCCTTCTTCTTCTTACTCCCCCCTGTGCACCTGGAGGAGACGGACTTTCTTTGGCTGGTATTCTGGCCTTCTTGCCTCAGAAAAGAAGGCATTTAAAATTTTAGCTAACTGCCTGATGAATATGGGACCAAATTAGTTCAATTTATCCTTCTTTATAACAGAGTAGTACTCTATCATATATAAAGACACACTTTCTTTATCCATTCATCTGGTTTTGTCTCTCTCTTTCTTTCTTCCTTCCTCTCTTTTCCCTAGGGATAGAATCAAGGATGTTGCACACACTAGTCAAGTGTGCTACCACTGAACTCTATCGGTAGCCCTGGATCCATGCTTTCTATAAACCTTTCAGACGGTCCTTCCCAAAGGCTTTGCCTCAGCCTTTCAAATTTTAAAGGACACAAGCAGCACTAGGGGGAGCCAGTTATAAATGTAGAACTCTAGACTCCACTCCCAGAAGTGGCAGAAGGTGTACTGGATCCACATTTTATGAAGAGCCCCATGTCAAATGCAAAATGTCAACCTCAAATGAATGCAGAAAGGCCAGGGATTTCACTCAGTGGTTTGCAAGCACATGAACCTGGATTCGTTCCTGGTACAAAAAAAAAAAAAAAAATGAATGCAGGAATGGATGCCAGATCTAACATCCTCTATCCAAAATGTCTGGGACAAGAAGCATTTCATTTTTTTTCAGATTTTGGAATATTTGCATATGCATAATGAGAGATCTTGTGGTCATCCTTTTTCAGCTATGGCAGCCATTCTGCCCACCTTTGCCAAGGGCTTACACTTAAATCAGAATTAAGGTGACAAACTGACTAATGCAGCTTAGAAGAACACAGCATCACTTAAGATCTCTACCAAAAATCTGACCCAATCTATAAGAACATCAAGTCAAATCAGTCACCTGTGCATTATGTCATGGTGATTTTAAACACAAAAAGTTAGCCACTGGACATTATCAGCACTTTGAAACTTTTAGTTCTCTTCTATAACCATCTCCCATATGTTCTAGAAGTGGCTGAGGACACTCTTGCATGGTCCTCTCAGAATCCTCTCTTCTCCCTCTGGAAAGGTCACTTACCAGGCCTCTGTTGTATAAAGAGGTGAGTATAGCTTCTACCCCAATGCCAAGGACATTCTAAAGCTACTGAAATACACCTTGAGGCTAGTTGTTTAGTTTTGTTTTGTTTTTGATAACAGCATCTCACTATATAGTTCATGCTGGCCTTGAATTCATAGCACTCCTCCTGCCTCAGCCTCCTGCATACTGGGATCACAGGCATGTGCCACCGAGCCTGCTCAAGGCTACTTTCTTGAATTATGGTAGACTTCCAGCATTTCTAAGACTTTACATGGCAATTACTCACTTTTCATACAAGCCACTCTCCCCCTAGGACTGAGAAGGGTGACCTGGGAGAGGACAGTACCCAAGTCAGTGCTCTTATCAGACTTGTTCTCTCAGGCAATGCTCCTTATTCCAGCCCAGTCATCCAGCTTAATCTACTTAACACCTTGGAGTTTTATGGCACAGGAAGTATTCTGTAAGATAGGCCATGACCTGTGGGCAGAATGGCTGCCAAAACAGAAAAAGGAGAGGTGACAAATTAGGGGCAGTAGGCTTCCTTAACCTCACTTTTTCAGCAAGAGATTCTTCTCTTCCCTGGGGCCTTGGGTAACAGGGTATGGGGACCTCCTCTTTTCAATTATCCAAACTGTACTTGCCATTCTTTCATTTTAGCAGGTATGTGTCATTTAATAATAGGGATATCTTCTGAGAAATGTGTCATTAGGGGATTTCATCACTGTGCAAACACCAGAGAATGTACCAGGCACTTCCTGGTCTAGTCTACCACACACCTATGCTACATGTTATGTATATACACTAGCATATTAGTCCTGTGGCCATGAAGAACAAATCAAGATTAGATTAAGATTGCACAAGAGAAAATGGTACAATCAAGGTATGTAACAAATACCAGATGAATTAATAAAATAAGTTTATAGCAAAGTTTTTTAAAATAAAGATTACCCTATAAAATGATGATTTGAAGGTATAGGATAAACCAGGCAAGGTGGAGCATGCCTATAATCCCTACACTCGGGAGGCCGAGGCAGGAGGGCAGCCATGTGTTCAAGGTCAGCCTGGGCTACATAGTGAGTTCAGACCAGTTTGAACTGCATAGCGAGACCCTGTCTCAAAAGAAAAATGAGCTGAGCGGGGTGGTGCACGCCTGTAATTCCAGCACTCGGGAGGCTGAGGCAGGAGAATCACTGTGAGTTCGAGACCAGCCTGGGCTATGTAGTGAGTTCTAGGTCAGTCTCAGCTACACAGTGAGACCCTGTCTCAAAAACAAAACAACAACAACAAAAAGAAAGAAAGAAAGAAAGAAAGAAAGAAAGAAAGAAAGAAAGAAAGAGAAAGAAAGAAAGAAAGAAAGAAAGAAAGAAAGAAAAACATATAGCATAGTAAACATATAAATCAATCAAGTATGTACCAGTACATAATACCAAGTACTGTGTGTGCTGGGCATGGTGATGCACACCTGAAATCTCAGCTATCAGAAGCTGAGGCAAGATCTCAGGTTGAGACCAGCAGGGGCAATTTAACAACACCTAGGGTAGCCCTGAGGGTGCTATAAGAACAACAATAACAACAAAAAAAAAAAGGCAGGGGAAGCAGGGAAAGGATATAGAACACACCAATGCTAGCTTCTCTGTTCTAGATTGAATCCTGGAGAGAGACAGTTTGAGAATTTGGCTGGGTTTTCAAGAGCAGAAGCTCTTGATCCATTCCATAGTTAGGGTTCTGGAAGAAAGCTACTGGGTAGGATGTCCCTGACTGACCCAGGAAAAGCAGTGTACAGAACAGCCAGACAAAGACACAGTCTCCTGGACTGCTGCACTGAGGCTCATGCTCCCTCGTAGAGCAGCCGCCAGGCGAGACTGGTAGGTCTGTCATACAGCAGCAGAAAGTGCTGAGCAGGCTGACCAACACAGACAGGGACAGGGCAGGCAGGTTAAGGACATCAGGTGTCCATAGGGCAGGCAAAAACCAAAGCCAGACTCAGCAGCACAGGCATGTAATCCCAGGAACTTTAGAGGCTGAGGCAGGAGGATCACAAATTTGTGGTCAACCTAGGCAACTTAGCAAAGAGATCCTGTCTCAAAACAAAAATTTTTTAATGGCTGAAGCTGTCACTCAGAGCTTCCCTGGCTTCAATCCTGAGTACTGAAAATAAAAACAAAAGCAAACAAAAAACAATAAGAAACTCAGTCACCAGACTCAACTCAAACCAAAAAAGAACGGATCTCATCAACTGCAGATATCAGAAGGTAGGTGACAGATGCATAAATCTGCCTCCTAGATGCCCTCTGAGAAAGGGACAAGTATAAAGACCTAAGAATCAGAGTATTTTTTCCTAAAAGACTCTGTTGGATATGGTTCTCCTGTACAAAAAATAACCTCAAAAATGCTGGGCATGGTGGTGCATGCCTGTGATCCTAGTACTCTGGAGGGTGAGGCAAGAGGACTGTAGAGTCCGAGGCCGGCCTGGGTTACATGGTGAGTTCAAGCCCAGCCTGAACTAAGTGAGACCCCATAAAACAATAACAAACAAAAAGGCAAAATAACCTAAATAACAGTGATACATTACAGATGTTAAATCAAACCGGGGGCAATGCAGGGGGCTGTGCTGGAACTGAACCCATATTGAGTTTCATTCCCAATGTAAATCAAACTTGAGAATAAGAGGTCTCTGAAAAATAAAGGGTTTATTGAGCTGTACAGATGCCAGCCAAAAGGTCGGTGGACAAATTCCCTAAGCCAAGAATAGCACCACCAGAAAGCAGTTGGGGAAATATCTACCAGACCGAATCATCTAGGTATTTGGTAATAAAAATCTGGGGAGGAAAAACATAAATTATTCACATGAGACCTATACTAGCTGTAGATAAGAGGGGCAGAACAAGGACAGCAGCCAAAGTCCTGGGAGGAGAGGTCAGTCCATATGAGCTACTTCTTTGTTGGTTGGTTCTAAGAGTGGAACCCCACGACCCTGGTGAGTAATGGTCAATGTACAGAAGAGCGATGTGGAGTCATTCCTTCTCTTGCCTTTTCTTTGTTGATTGACTTGAAGCTATCAATTACAGTGATCTCTTATCTCTTCCCTCTCCCCTTTCTCTGGCCTGTAACAATTTAAGAGTTCTCAGAATTCTCTTATCATAAACTTTGAATTTTTACTCATGGGTTTGAGCTGCAGCTTTTCTTTTCCGATTGGTGTCAACAAGGCTTATCCTCCAGTCCATAGGTGGGATTCAAGTCTGCTCTACAAGTCCCCTCATTCTAGGACCAGCAGCTACAGTGACCTGCTCTTCTTGTGACAGAGGACAGGATTGTAAGAGCCGAGGAGGTAATTGATGCAGACACATTTAAAGCCTCCACTCACGTTATATCCATTAACATTCCATTGGCCAAACTAAGTGTTTTTGTTGTTGTTTGTTTGTTTGTTTGTTTTGGTACCGGGGATTGAACTCGGGTCCTTGCGCTTGCAAGGCAGGCCACCGAACCACTGAGCTAAATCCCCAGCCTGGCCAAACTAAGTGTTGTGGCCAAGATCAAAGTCAATGGACAACAGTGAACACGCATATTACTGAAAGAGTGAAGAACTGAAAACAGTAATCCAAGCTATTGCAAAGGCTGAGTCTTAATCTGAAGAAACCACATCATTACATATTAGACTAAGGTTGCTAAACAGATACTTAATATTTCCCATCACCCAGTAGGTAGGGGACTTAGATCAAGCTCCATGGAAGCAGAACCCAAAATGGGGATTCCTGAACACATAATCTAAGTGTGTGCTCTAGGAAGGGGTGGACATTTCAAGAAGTGTGACAAGGACCGAAGAAAAGGAACAGCAATGAACACTGTAATTCGGGGAGGGACAAGCATGTGATCTCAGCTGGAATCTGGTTTGATTCCACAGGAGGTGAGTGAGAAATGCACTAGAGTTGTCCCCCTTGAGGCAAGAGCAGGGCTTCTTGGCTTCTTTGTCATTGAGTCAGGAGCTGGCCTCCCACAGTGTTTGTAACCTCCCAGATGTTTCCCTGAGAGGTGGCAGCTGGAAGCCAAGTATAATTCTCTGAAGGAGGCAGAAACCATGAGCTAAGGCAGACAGAACTCACAACACTGGGTGTATTGGCTGATTAAGGGATCTGGAGCTCCTACTACACGGCTTGGCTCATGAAATACCAGATCAAAATAAAATTGCTATGTTTTATTTACACACAGCAAATATTGCTGTTTATTTCCTAATATTCATTCCCTTTTACCAAAAATAAAACAAGTTTATTTAGCTGCCCCAAGTAAAAGTGAGCATGGACATGTAATTAGGTGTTTTTTTTTTGGGGGGGGGTTGAGACAGGGTCTCACTAGGTAGTTGAGACTGATCTGGAACTCACTATGTAGCCCAGGCTGGTCTCGAACTCAAGCGATCCTCCTGCCTCAACCTCCTGAGTGCTGGGATTACAGGCGGGCACCACCACACCCGGCT